TACTTGATAAATAAGCTTTGGCAGCAATGGAATTCGTGCCAAATTCCTTATGAATAAATGAATGATGGATAGTTGGTTCTTAGGGTAAAACCTTAAGAAGATAATAGGGATGGGTAATAGGGTTGATTGTTTGCTGATTACATATAATAATTATATTATTGTGGGTTGAAAACCCTATATGCTCACCAGGCTCCCAAGCCTGACCCACTCAGTTTTCTTTTCATTACAGGTAATGACACAAGGGTATAAGTTAGTGGACTTGACGAGAGATTTTGGATTATAGATCAGTAGTTGAATAACTGTTGTAAGATTTATTTTATATTGTTTATGCTTTTGGTCTGTATCGAACATGACATCCCAAGATTTTATTATTTAATGAAAATACATTCTCTTTGAGAAATGTTTTGATAAATTTGATCATATTTTATTTTGGGAACAAATTCCGCAACTCTTTTAATCAAAAGATTACTCTGATTTTATAAAACAAAGCATAAACAAATCGGTCTTTTCTGGCCGTGAAATTGGGGATGTCACATAGGGCGCGCCTAGTACGCTCAACGTACCCTTATGTACGCACAACATACTCCTCCTGATTCCTAATAATTGAAATTTAGCCCTTAGACTTTCATTTCTTCAACCTTCAATCCCCAAGGACTATAAACGACAAATCTTGGGATGTTACATATATAGAATAAAAATTAATGTTGTAAAATAGCTTGTTGAAAAATATGTAAAAAAACAAAAAAAATGTTTTTAGAGGGAAAACCTTATGAAAACACACCATATTTTTATCAAAGTTTTAGAAAACCACTATATAATTTTTTTTTGTATGTTAAAACATTTATATTTTTTAAAATGTATCATTTAAGGAATTGAGCTCGGTAAATCTTAGATAGTTAAAAATGTTATCTACTCGATTCACAACATTTTGATTGTTACAACTCATTAGATTAAAAAAACGAGAGTTTAAATGCACTATAAAAAATTATATAATGTTTTTTTAATCATTTCATGAAAATAAATTAAGTTTTTCTAAGTATAGAAAATCTTAAATAAGAAATTCAGAAAATATAATGTTTTTTGTGTACTAAAAAAATAATATAGTGGTTTTTTTAAGCATTTGATGAAAATACGTTGGGTTTTTATGAGGTTTTCTCGTTTTTAAAACACATTATATATATATATATATATATATATATATATATATATATATATATATATATATATATATATATATATATATATATATATATATATATATATATATATATATACACTAATTTTGAAGTACCAGTTGAACAATTTTGGGATTTTTTTTTGTGGTTTTTGTTTTCTTCTTTTGTTGTCTTTTTTTTTTTTTTTTTGTCTTCTTTAGCTTAATAAATATTTATATTAGACGTGAAAGTGGATTACACATGTCTCCATTTCTTAAACTCCTTTCTACGTGTTTGTTTTCCTGCACCTTCTTTTTTGCCATATCGACTTTTTCCACCGCTTACCTTCTACGTCTCTGTTTTCTTTTGCTCTTCTCTGGAGGATCGTCGACTTTCTTTCTAGGTTAGGTCTCAACCATCTTCTTCCCTTTTTGTATAATCTCCTTTGTTTCAATGTTGTTTCCTTTCAAAATTTTCCTTTGGATTGTATATCTTCATGTGTAAAAGTGTAAAATGCGAAAGCGGAAGTTGCTTTTACTATGCCTTCTTCGTCTTCGTTTGGTGGTGGCTTCCTTCGTTATTCGCCTAGACTGGAAGGATTGGATGTTCTTCCTCTTCCTCTTATGTTCTACCTTGAGGATTGTAACTGTGTCAGTCGATTTTGTGGCACTGTTTTTTGGTTTGCTTAAAGCAATGTAGTCGACTCAACTGCAAATCGACCAGTATACACCCAATGTTGTAAGTCTGGTACCGTTATCCTGCCTTACCCTTTTCCCCTACCTCCTGAAATTCGCTCCCTTTATTTAAACAGTCGCTTCATGGCTGATATCAGGGAATATAACAGTATGTTCTCTATGACTTCTTTTGGGGCTAATGTTGATGAAACAGTTAATGATGGTCGTGGACCATATGTTTTTAAAGTCTCTGGTCAGATTTACCACTCAATTGGCTCCCTATGTCCTGAAGATAATAATGGCCCCAAATTTTTGCAGCTATATACTTATGACACTGATAATGAATTTTCCAACAGACTTAATGTGTTTCCTTCTATTAAAAAGAAAGAGTTAGACATTGAGACAATTAAAGTTCTTATAGGATGTTTAAAAACTCACAATGAGCACATATGTACTTTCAAAACATCCAAACAAATTGCTGACGAAATGGAATTACAATCTTACTCTATCTGCTTATATAGTGACCTCCCTAATCGTCGATATAGTGTTCAACTCTCGGTAGCCTAGGATGTATAATTATCGGCGATGAAACTAATTGTGGAAGATATGATATTATCATCCAATCAAAAGGTTATAATGCTCAACGCGTTAGTAAATTGCATCCGAGTTATATGCCTTTGGAATACCCTTTGTTGTTCCCATATGGAGAAGAAGGTTGGTCACCACGTTTAAAGATCCAAAACAAAACTAGTGCCTCTGCAAAAAACTCACTGTTAACGTGTATTACAGCTATCAGATACATCCGCATCAACATATATACTCACATGTCTTAGAATCAGGGCGCCTTTCCAGCAATATTTGTTTGATGCATATACCTGTGTCGAGGCAGATCGATTGGAGTACATTCTGCATCATCAAGAACAACTATGGTCAGATTATGTAAGTGGTTTATATGATGCACTATCGAAGGGTGATAGGGACAGTAAAGTGGTGGGTAAACATGTTTATTTACCTGCAATCTTTGTTGGTGGTCCCCGTTACATGTACAAACATTACCAAGATGAACTAGCTATTTGTAGGGTGTATGGAAATCCATAGTTTTTCATTACTTTCACATGTAATGTGAGGTGGCCAGATATCGAATGCTTTATGGATCTTCATCAACAGCGCGATGTTCACAGAAGAGCTGATATAATTTCACTTGTCTTCCAAATCAAAGTTGATGACTTTATCAAGTTTATCAAGTTTATGAAGGAAGACAAGACCTTTGGTGACGTCATTGGATGTAAGTACATCTTCACCTTTTCATCTTATCATACATTTATCTCCTTATACATTCTTTTTTCCACCTTATAGTTGTTTGCATAATCTCATACGTCCATTTCATGTGTATTCAGACTTATACACAATAGAGTTCCAGAAAAGAGGCCTTCCACATTGTTATGGACATCATCTGCAGATAGGATAAAAGAACCAGGTGACATTGATAAGTATATAAGTGCAGAGTTGCCTGATCCTGTATTAGAAAGACCATTGTATGATGTAATCACCAGCTGCATGATTCATGGTCCTTGTGGATTTTTAAACAAGTTTGGACTATATATGAAGAACAATAATTTCAGCAAGAAGTATCCAAAACCCTTCGAGAAGAGCACTTTTCTTGACAAAAATGGGTATACATGTTACAAAAGAAACAGTCATTCACGTCACACAATGGGAAACAGGATCGTGATTGACAATGGTTACGTTGTACTCTACAACAAAAGATTATCTTCCCGCTTTAGAGCACATATAAACGTAGAATATTGTGGTTGGAACATGATGGTCAAATACCTTTTCAAATACATATCAAAAGCTATAGAACTCATCAGATTCACAGTTTAGAGAAAATGAGGCATCTGCAGAAACCGCTTCTGCTCATGACATCCAACCAATTAATGAGGTAAACGCCTTCCTTGATGGCCGATTTGTTTGTCCTCATGAAGCTGCATGGAGTATTCTGAATTTTGATATTCACATCCGATGCCCACCTGTTATGGCACTGCTTGTCCATCTGCCACATATGCAATATGTCATCTTTAGAGCTGATATGATGCTACATTGTGTTCTTAGTAATCCATCCCTAGGAAGAACACCGCTTCTAGGATGGTTCGATAGTAATGCACGTGACCCTACAAGACACAATCTAACTTACATGGACTGTCTAAAAGAATATAAATGGGATTTGGATTCAAAAGAATGGTCACGAAGGGTTTATGAATCTTCATCAACAATTGGTAGGCTGCTTTTTGTACATCCATCTTCCGGCGAACTATTTTATCTACGGATGTTGCTATGCCACCAAAAAGGATGCACATCATATGAAGATGTTCGGACAATATCAGGACTGTTACATGCAACTTTTCGTGATGCATGTAACACTCTTGGTTTGATAGCAGATGATGTCGAATGGATGGTTGCCTTTAATGAAGCATCAACTTTGGCCACTTCTACTTAGTTACGGTCCCTTTTCTATTATCTTCTGTTATTTTGTGAAGTCGCCAGTCCGGTCTCACTATGGGAAGCTGCATACGATAAAATGGTGGATGATTATGTACATAAAGTTCATCTAGAATTTCTAGATAGAAGACTTGATGTACATTCTGATATAATCCAACAACAACTTTTTCTGGATTTAGAGAACATGCTCCGATCCAATACTCCAAGTCGATCGTTGGCTGATTTCAAGTTATCCACTCCATTAGATTCTTCCACAAATGTCCTAACCAACCGTCTTCTACAAGAAGAAAGCATCTATGACAAAGAAGATTTATATAGACAACATCTCCAAATGGTGTCTCGTCTAAAAAAACAACATATAACTGTCTACCAAGCAGTTCTTACTTTAAATGAGATGAAAAAACAATGCCTACTTTTTTTTATGGGCATGGAAGTACTGGTAAAACCTTTTTATGGATTGTTATTATCTCATATTTCAGATCACTGAGGAAGGTTGTACTTGTTGTCTCAGCTTCTGGAATAGCCACGCTTCTACTCCCATGTGGCCGGACAACCCACTCAAGGTTTAAAATACCTATTGACTCGTCTAAAAAAATCATGTGACATTCAAAAGAAGACATCACTTGCAGAATTGCTACAACATACCTCACTAATTATTTGGGATGAAGCACCAATGAGTAATCGACGTTGCTTTGAATGTGTTAGCCGTTCACTTCGTGACATTATTGTCTGTGATCATAAAGTATTTGGTTGTATTTCTGTTCTTCTTGGAGGGGACTTTAGACAAACATTACCTGTGAAATCGAAAAGTACACGCGAGGCCATTATCTCTTTAACATTACCTTATTGTTATCTGCGGAAATCCTTTAAGGTTTATAGGTTAACTGATAATATGAGGCCGATGAAGGTAGCTGGTAATCCTGGTGGCCAATTCTCTACGTCTGAATTTGCAGAATGGATACTTGAAGTTGGTAATGGGACTATAGGTGAACTTGACAAAGAAGACCCAACAAATACATTTTGGATAAAGATACCATACCATCTCTTAATTCCTACTTCAAACAACTCATTGCGGCATCTAATAGACTTTGTTTATGGGGATGGTGTCCTTCATAACACATATGTCATTGATCTTTCAGATAGAGCAATTATATGCCCCACAAATGAGGCTGCTGACAAGATTAATGAACACATTGTCCAAATGACAGGTAACCTTCATAGAATTTACAAGAGCATAGATACAATGCAGCCTAATGGTAAATACACGTCAGAGTTAAAAGGTTTATATCCAATAGAAATTCTAAATCAGCTGCATTTTCCAAACATCCCCCCACATTTACTTACCTTAAAACCAAACATCCATATTAATTTGATGAGAAACATTAGTCAGAAGGATGGTCTTTGTAATGGTACTTGACTTATAGTATCCTAGTTACTTCTATTGGTCATAAAAACAACTGTCATAACAGGCACATGTATTGGGAAACAAGTTTACATCCCCCTTATCAAATTCATTCACAATCCACCAGACCTACCTTTTTCATTTGCAAGAAAATAGTTTCCAATTAAAGTTTGTTATGCCATGACAACAAACAAAATCAAAGGGCAGTCACTTAAGAAGATTGGAGTGTATCTACCACAACATGTTTTCACACATGGTCAGCTTTATGTTACATTGTCTAGGGCAACATCTCCAGACTCCAGCAAAGTCACTTTATGTTGCATTGTCTAGGGCAATGTCTCCAAACTCCAGCAATGTCCTCATAAACAATGTTGACAATAATGTCCATAATCTAACAAAAAATGTAGTCTTCAGAGATTTACTGTGCAAAATATAAAATTATAATCATAATACTCCCTCCGTCCCAATATTATTGTCCACAGACAAAAAACACACAGATTAAGAAAAACATTAATTACCACTAACTTTATTTAATAAAATGACAGTTTTGTCCTTACTTTGCATTTAATGTTCCATTAAATGCTTAGTTAGTTAATTAATAATGAGGGGTATTTTGGTAAAAATGTTATTTATTTTTAGAAGTGGACTATTATTTTGGGACAAACCAAAAAGGAAAGATGGACTATAATTTTGGGACGGAGGGAGTATAATGGAAAAGTAAATAACTTTGTTTTCTTATTGCTTACCTACGTCCATAGTCAATAATATCATCTTTTAAATAGTTTTCACTTTATTTTTTATTGTTTATATTTTCATTCCCTGTTTATTCCTTTCTTACCAATTATAAATTATATAATTGTTTCTAAGAACTACTCTTAAATGTATATTAGTAGAACCATTTAATACAAGATGACAACCATTTCAGAACTGAAATATGGTTGTATCGGAGGACCATTACAAGTACGAATACTACAGAAATGGAAACCGGATAACCGTCGCCATGAAACATGGTATCTGGCAGTGGACAAATTTGTAAGCTGTTCTTCTTTAAGTTGTATTCATTCTTTGTTTTGTAAATATTTTTTATGAAAACTAACTTTACATATCAATAATTATATCAAGGAGATGCCATTCAAATATTAGGCCAAAGAACCAACCATGGTTATATAGAGTGTATACTTACTACCACTGACTTTTTTACCATTGATGAATATACATGTCCCCTATTAGATGAATATCAAAAAATGTTAGAACAAAATTTCTACATAGATGTTGGCATTGCATCCATAATCTAACCAATTCCTAACACATCTATCCTTCCAACAAGTTGGTTTCATTTCTTACCAAAAAAACAAATTATAGAGTTGGGAGAAAGCCCACCATACTATCCAGGTACCTCATGAAATCTACAATCATTGCTGATGCAAATATACATTTTTTCTTATGTTTATGTCTTTTTTGCCCTCTTTACTATCATCACATAAAAAACATTCCCATTACATAGTATAAATAACATCACAGTTCTTTTCTATTGAATATATTATTCTGATACCTACAGATTTCATTGGACTAATCACCGAAGTGAAGGACTGCACAAAAAGAGATGGAGAGCCTTTTGTATTGCGGGTCCTAGCTGATCAAAAGTAAGAACACACTAAAAAATATAGCTACATATACATGTTTTTAAATCCTCTATTTAGTCCTCATTCTCTGTATCAAATTCAGTGGTGACTAACTTGTAATTAATCTTTGGAAAGAATGCACCAAATGTCCTGAGAAGTTTGATCGTCAAAAATTACTGCCTCTCCCTGTAACAACAGTTGTTGCAGTCACCAACCTAAAGTCTTCCAGAATTGATGGTATTATTTATTCATCTTTGATTTACATTGGATATCTTTTTTCTACAAAAAAAAACAATCAACAAACATACCCCATTCTCTGTTTATTCTAAACAAGTGCTTACGCGTGGATCTTCGGTTACAACATACCTGTATGTGAACCCTGAGATCCCAAACACTACCTTATTGATACACCGGTAACCAACTATCCATAAAGTCAATTATGTCAGGATAATCACAAACATACAAATTATTTCACACAAGTTTTATGCTTTCTATAGGTATACATGTCCAACAAGACCTATAAGCGAACATACATGCATACAAACAACAATTGATAACCTGACAAAGAAGACACGTTCTGAACTTTTGGTAATTCATAACCAAATCATGAATTCAGATATCTATTCTACATGATTTATATATATATATATATATATATATATATATATATATATATATATATATATATATTTCCTTTCCACATTTTCAGGACAAATCATTCAATTTGAAAGCATCAATCCGACATGTCTTCTTTAAAGATTACTGGTGTCAAGTGACATGTCCTGTCTGTAAAGATTCTATCTTTAAAAAAGGTACCAAGTGGTTTTGCAGTGCACATGGTACAGTTACAACACCAAACTTCATGTAAGTTCATTACCTTCTAAACGTCACAACAAATAGACAACTTACCATACAGTCAGTAAACAATGTCTTTATGCATATATAAATTGAATGCAACCGCTACAGACAAAACTGGTGTTCTATCTGCATCCATCACTGATTATGTGGCACAAAAAATAATTGGTAAAGGCCCAGACAAACTCTTTGCAGAAAATACACACCTAGGTAGACGAAACTTGCCTGCCCTTATCAAGACACGTACATCACTTGCAAAACAAATGATAATTCGGTTACTAAGAACATCATTAGCTGCTACCATCCGTTTTCTCATTGTGGATATTGAGGATCTCCAACCTATCATCCAGTTAACAGTCCCACACACCCTTACCCTAGCCATTGAAAGTAGATTACCTGTGCAAAACCGTAAAGATTCAAATCGATCCACAACATCAAAGCATTAGATGTGTCAAAATTGTTGTCTTACAACTCCTTAGGTATACAAACAATCTTATTGCATACACAAAAAATGTCAATAAAAACTTTTTAAGTAACTAAAATTTCTCATTCTACAGACACACAACCTTAGAAAAGACTAAGGTCACAGAAAGACAACCCTTGATCGACTACTAATGCAACTGGGATGTATGGTTCGATCTTAAATTTATTTAGTTTTTTTTTATCCATGGTAACTAAGTTTCCATATGATATGTTTATGCCACTTTGTTTTTTGTTGAAACACCTTTACCTGCTACATTCCAACTTCCTCCGATGCTTTATGATAAATATTTTAAAATGCGTTCCATCCATTACATCCGGTACTGTACTCTACAACAAGATCAGTCCAAACATATTCAATGGATCGGGCCAAATTACATAAGGGTGCCGAATGATAGTACAATCAAACCTCAATGAAATCATACATTTACATCACAACCATGGAAAATACAACTACATACCATATATTGATATGAATTGATAAAGTAACTCACTACGATTCTACTCAAAATATATATATATATATATATATATATATATATATATATATATATATATATATATATATATATATATATATATATATATATATATATATATATATACCATTTACTACCATTCTACAGACCACATCTAATATGATAATCCATATTAAGAAAGAACACATATACATAATATAAAGCTATCCCATATTCTACACAACTCATAATAAATACATACATCTTTTTTTAAAGCCATCTACATCTCAATATCGAAACCTCTATTTTTCATAGAATCCTTTTTGCGACATAATGAGAAAGTTAAATAGTAAACATTAAGTTACAATAAGATGAAATCAAAAATTATGATGAAATCGGAAAACCCAGAACCACATTTTCTTTTGAATTGAAGTCAAATTCTCTTTAACTTCAGATCCAAGTAAATGTTAATATTATCTTTATTGAAGAGAAAGCAAAATCAAGTATCCCTGACTCAACTAAAACAAACCCTCATGTTAAAAAAGTAACATTTTTCTAAAAACAAAATTAACAGCCATCTTGCAGAACCAAGAGTCATCTCCATATATATATGACAATCCATATTAAGAAACAATACAGATACAGAATATAAAACCATCCCATATTCTACACAACTCATAATAAATAAATACATTTTCTTTTAAAGCCTTCTATATCTCAATTTTGAAACCTCTCTTTTTCATAAAATCCTTGCTGCAACATAATGACGAAGTTAATACTAAACACCAACTTACAATCAGATGAAATCAAAAACTATGATGACATCAGAAAACCCAAAGATACATTTGTTTTGAGTTGAAATCAACTTCTCATTGACTTAAAAACAATCGAATTTAAGAATACAACGTATATTGTTCAAATTAGTAATAGTTTCACTAAAAAAAACATAAAGATAGAATCTGTAAGTTAAAAAAAATCAAAAAGAAGAATTATAATTTCATACATGTCATTTACCGAGTTATACCGCTGGATGGCTTTATTTACCGAATTATAATTTCATACCCAATAATACAATTATACCGCTATACACTTGCTCTCTATTTCCCACTGACTTTATTTCTTCTTCTATAACTCTAGATATAACATCTTTACTTTCATACAACCTTCGTTTCCAATCTGTTCCATCACCATCTCTTAGGAGGTGATGACAACATTAATTGCCCATACCAACCGTCATACGTTACGAATCCCCTTTTATGAAACGCTGGCTCTCAATGCCACTTCAAATTCCATTCACCTTTAATCTCCCCAACAAAGACCATCCTCCAAAAAAACCAAAAATGAAGCCTCAACAGATAGAAGAAACCATTAAGCTTCTCATCAACCAACAACAGGAAGAAAAAACTTCCATGGAGAATCTACAAAATGACATGTTCCTTCATCAACAAATGATCGATGACTTGCTTCAAACCATGCCAATTCGCCCAACATACATCAACTTTGTAATAATGCAGGGAATCATCAACAACTATAAATACGAGGCATCAAAGTCGATCCAGGCTATCTATAGCCTGAAAAGAAAAACAAATGAACTAATCGACAACTAAAGATAGAGATGAAAAAGCTCCCTAAAGACGAGCGTCTATACATGGATTGAAGCTGATCATCAGAAGAAATGGGTTATCTTTTGCCTCTTTTGCTAGAAAATATAAACGATCTTTTGCTACCCTATGTAATGAAAATGAATCCTATGCATGTTAGAAAAAAATAATGTGGACGACTGTTTTATATGTACTTCTTTGCATTTCTACGAACCAAAACATGCCATAACTATATATTTGTTCTGCAAATCAAACCTTTCATTTCATAATATCTCATTTTTATAAATACCAGAAGAATAACTAAATATTTATAGGTAAAAATTTGTATTGTACAAAAAAGGAAAACAATCATATAAAAATAAACAACATCCCATAGCTACAAAAAAAAATGACAGCAAACCACTTGATAAGTAAACACTACAACTTGCATGTCACTATATTCGTCCATCTGCAACCCGAGAACACACGTCACACTTCCCACGTCCTATATAAGACTCCCAATATTAGACCATTACTACTCACCACAAAAAACACATCCAACATGCCAAAAGAAACCACCGTTGTCGTGCTTTCTTCACAAATCTCTTACCTACGAGAAATATATGATCTACTTGAAGCTGCACAAAGCAGATTGAGAGAAGGGTTCGTCATGGACAACAAATCCTATAACACCATTTCCAGATATTAACAACACCAACAGTTGGGTGTCCTAAAAAAATTACTTCATGACGCAGCTCTTGACGACCAATCAATCGAAGACAATCTGGACCATAAAGGAATACAAGTTTACAAATGTATAATCAAGAGTGAAGATATCTAATGTAAACTACATCTACAGTGTAAACTACATCTATCGTCATGTATTTCAAGTATCATAATAAATTCTGATTATGCAAGTAAAAAAAATCAAATCCCGCACCGCAGGCTTCTTCACTAGTTTATACTATCTAATAAATAAAATAACTATGTGCTGCATATTTTTAAAGTATTAACCTATTTTTCTCCTTCGATGTCAAATGACATATTTTAAATCCAGTCCCTATAATTTAAATATATTTAAAAACTTAAATCATGCCTCATTTATTTTGTGACTCATAGTTTTCCCCCGAGTGTCTATTCATATATGTTGTGTGGGATTCAAAGAAAGAGAGTCTACAATTAATTACTAATTACTAAGGTCTTGTTTGTTTTTTTTTTAAAGCAAAATTTTGTAAAGTCTCTGACCACCTCTGTAACCCTCTACAGTAAAAGAGGTGGACAAAATGGCTGCAGACTGTAATAAGAAACGTGTTTTTTTTTAATATCTGCATACTGCTGTAAATATTAAAAAATTAAAATAAACTGATTTTATAATTCGAAAATAGTTTTTTAATATCGAAAATTTAATAATGTATAAATTTTGACAAAAATTTATGATATTTCAGCAAAAACAATGATATTTTAACAAAAAAATAAAGATATTTTAGCATAAAATAATGATATTTCATCAACAAATTATCATTATTTAATATAAAAAAAAAAAGCAAAAAAATCAACAAGAATAAGCAAAAAAAAATGAAAAAAAATGTGAAATAAGATTTTAGTAATATATAATCAAATATTTTAGCAAGAAAAATAAGAAGAATAAGAGGTTGGAAGATGTAGGAAGACACAAAAAAAGTAATGCGCTAAGAAGAACATGCACAAATGTTTTTTTAATCCTAAGACTTCTGAAAAACAAACAGTTGCGAGATGAAAAGTGTTGCGCGTGTGCTGCACCGTTCATCAATAAGAGGTCTAAAGATATTTTTTCCAAAAAACAAACAACACCTTAAAATTTTTTTCCTTACGAACTTAAGGAGGCTTCACAAGTCTACGTAAAATTACCGATATAAATTAATTATTATATATAAATTTTTGTTTGTAGTTATAATATCATTTTTAGTATACAAATTTTATGTGTTTATCTTTTGTATACACATAGAAAAATGACTCAAAGCAACATGGCCTTCATCAACCATCTCTAAATATTATTAAAAGAGAATCTTAAATTCTAATTTTAAGAAATCAGGACCATTGATTACATTTCAATCCTTAATTTTTCACCCTTGGATTGTTTGCTTACATCGTCCTTATTACTCAAACAGTTTACACGCTTCTATTTTTTTTTCCCTTCGATGTCTACCTTCTTTATCTCTCAATTGTAACCTAATCATTCCTTTTCCATCGACATCTACCTTCGCCATCTGCCAGAAAACTTATCCCTAATGGATTTCCAAATGCATACTCCAAACTAAAGTAACTTTCAATGTCGTTCATGGATTTGATCCCTCTTATACGAATGAATGTATCATAGTTCCAGTGTTTCATCATCTTCAAATCGTCTATAATGTAGTAAAATTCTTTGTTGTTTTTTGAATTTCAAATGTTTACCGTATGAATCCAATTTTGTATGAAGATTTAGTGTTGTTTTCTTCTTTGATTAAAAAATAATTTTAACTGATGCTGTTCTTCGGTGATAATTTCAATACGAAGACGTCATCCGAAGGTTCTCATAAGAACTCTCCTCGATCGATTTATTTTGACACGAGCCAAATGAACTCGAGTCTGAATCTTTGACAACCCAAAATTTCTATTCTCCACAACCCTTCACTTCATTAGTAGTCGGAACAGTTTTTGCTAATTTTCAAAGCTTTTGGAATAAGTTTGAGTATTTTAGGATTAGCACTTTAAGAGATATCAGGAGAGAGGATGCCCTAGGGTTTATTGTACATATTAAAAGTCTCAAAACTTCAAGAGTTTGGAGTTTACGGCCCAAAGGATGTTCTTGTACCGTAAACTCCATGGAGTATATATATATATGGCACTTAGCCATTTTTACTTCATTTCTTCCATTTCAACTAGAGAAAACCCGATTTCTCTCCTAAG